ATAAAATAAATTAGAGTTTTATATTAGAGATTAAAATAAAATCAAATTAAACCTTATATTAAAGGCATAACTTTTGTTTTTATGCCTTGACAAATTAAAAAAAGAAAAATAGAGGAAGAAAAGCTGACGGGCGCATCTTTGTAAGAGGACTTTATAGTAATGATAGCGGGCATCATGAAGCAGCAAAACGAATGATTTCAGCTTTGGCGCGCAAAGAATGAAAAGGCAAACCATACCAAAAAGCAATTAGGAGGGAAAAATACAGAACATAATGATGTGACGTAAAGGGCAAACACCACCAGTGGAGTTTCCTAGTGGCGTCCAAGCATTTCCTGGCTTGTGTTCTTATTTACGGAGCATTTGACATTATTATTGTTGTTATTTATATTTTCAGCATTCTAGTCCTATTTATAACTACAGAAAATAATATTAGGGTATTAGATGTATCAGTAAAATACTTTCTCTGGTCTTATATATAAGTTTTAAATAATTGAATCATGTTTAACGAATTAGCAGTTAAAAATAATAAATAGGTTTAAAATGTATTTTTTTCTCAAATTTGCCCTTATTTATTAATAGAGTAAATGAGAGAGGTAATAAATAAAAAAAATGATTAAAGAGAATATATGAGAGAATGAGTACTAAATAAAGTCAACTAAGCAAAAAATAGAAATAAAAAGCAATAAATGTTCACACAGGGCTCAGTTTTAAAAGTGAAGTTCATATATACAATTGAAGGGAGTAATAACATCAGGGTATTAGATACATAATAAATAAAAAGTACAAAGTGCTTAAATACTTCGAAAATATACACAAAGGAACACTCAGTATTTGAAAGTTTTTTTTGTTATTATATATTCTGAAAGTCTTATTTCATAACATTTCTATCATGAACGTTATTTGCTGTTAAGTTTGACCATTAAAGATAATAGTCAAGCTGCATAATTTAATGATCAAACTTAATAACAGATAATGACCAGGGTATTTTTGCTGCAAAAATAATCTTTTAGGGCAAATAAGAGGTAAAGAAAACTTTCAGATACTGATTGCTTCTTCATAAAATACTTTTGGAATATTTAAACACCTTATTTCTAGATGAAATTAAGATATTGAATACAAATGAAAAATAAGTTAGCATGCTTATAAAAATAAAATTTAATGTAATGTATAAAAAAAAACCATAAATATGATCGAATAAGGTATATAAAAAATTTAGGGGAAAAGTAATCTGCGGGTCCTTAAAGTTCTACAGGATTTTTAATTAGGTCCCTAATGTTTTTTTCTTTTTCATTAAATCCTTATACTTACTAAGATTATAGCCGTTGGTCCTTCCGGATGAAAAACGTTACGGAATGCTAATAAATTGAAAACGGCATTGGTACTGAGGTGGAAAACCCAAGAGCCGCGATATACATCTTCAACGAAGGGGCAGGGTATAAGATCTTCGGCACTAAGGAACACCCGTAAATGTTTCTCCAGGAAGCCATTGCCCACTTTTCGATGACCATGGAAGTCCAAGGAAGAGCAAGTGTTGCCCAGTGAGGGAAGGGAGTGAGGAATGCTGATGTTGGGTATTGATAAATTTCGCAGGCGAGGGGAACAAAAATAACACTTGTTATCACCATTCTCTGTTGTCTTCCGGCTAAAATCCGTTTCAAAGTTTAGGCCATTCCTTCCTTTCCTCCACTGAATCCAACAGATTGTTTTGCTCAATACCCAAGAGTTACACTTACGTATATAGAAGTTATGAAAAACTGGATCATATCTAAAGCTTCATGCTCAGGTCCCAAAAAAAAAAAACAGATCCAAAGCTCCATGCTTGTGTAATCTATTATATGTTTATTGGTTTTAAGCCTACCTCTGTTTTTTATCCTTAAAACAGGGATAAATAGAGTAATACAATTTACCAAAACGTAAGATTGAAAAACCAAGAGATAATATTAAAAAGTATTAGGTACTCTTAATTAGCGTAAGGGGATAAAATTATCGGCTTATAAAGACTGGGTATTGCACTTTGAATTGAAGAAACTCTTGTTTCAATTCTCCAAATATATCAGGAGATGCTTCTATAGCACTTTGAACATAGGTAATGATTGGAACAATTTGTATAATACTGCTGCTATAGCTAAGTATTAGAAAGTTTTGGGATATGCATTAAAGCAAGAAATATATTATGACAATAGTGAGAGAATGATAAACCGAGATGCTTGATAAACGGTCTCATCAAGTTAACCAATTCTTTCTACTTTGACGCAGTTGTATTAAAATTCCAGCAACGAGCAGACGTTCACTAGGGACCTCAATGTCAGCGCCGTTTACTATCTGTTAACATTTTATAACGTATTTCGTCTGAAGGATTAACAGCTATAACATTAATAAGTATAAGTATTTAATAAAAAATAAAAAAACTTTAGGGACCTGATGAAAAATCATGTAGAACTTTAAGGACCGGCAGGTTACTTTTCCCAAAATTTAGCATAGTTCAACAATTTCTCCTAAGATATAGGAGAATATAAGGTAGAAACGCTTTAAATTACTCGTTCCGCAATTGGAGTTAATGACTATGTACAATAACACATTGGAGCTTAGGTATAATTAACTTTTTCAATATTTATTATCATCAAAACTTATATTAAACACAATGTCATAAATTATTATGTCAAACAAAATAATACTGAAAAGAAACTCCCAAAAATAATTTTACTTTCCTCAGAATATTTCTAAAAACTGATATCCTGTCCTTTGTATTTTCTCCTATTTTTTCCTTATCCAAACCAAGCGTTAAATATTCAGCATTAATTGAGTTTCAAATTCTAGAAAAATTAATGAATGTGTCTTAATTAAGTTTGATTCAATATTGAGAAATTATAATTGACAAGGCAATTATGAGATGAGACAATCTTTAATAAAATTGCCCTTGTTATTTAACGTAAACGTGAGATTATAGACTAGCCATTAGGTACTTAGTATTATTAGAATATGAACTCATGAACCTATCGTTTTGTTGATATGAAATGAACCTATGAGACAATAATTGTGTTTTGTACAAAACTTATCCAAGAATATTTGTAAAAAGGCTCAATGATGAATTACCACTTCTATTATAAGGAATGTTTAAGTTACTCCTTCTGTTTTTTTTAATTAAGATTTGAATTTTTGAATAGATTTGGTCCCTTTCATAAGATATAGTTTTGGAATTGTTTGAACATTAATACATTTTTATTCATCCTTAATCAAATGCATCATCTTTACATCATACATTTTTCTTCACCAAAATACTTTTTCCCACTATTTCTCTCTTACTTACCCTCTTATAAATAAGAAAACAATTAGTTAAAAATATAAGCTACCTCTAATTCTAAATATAAAATCTAATTTATAGTATAAATTACACTACAAATTAGATTTCTTATTTAGAACCAAAAATAGTATTCCTCATATATTTATTATTTCTAACTAATATTGATGGATTTTTTAAGCCATACGATTTGGTTATTTGAATTTTAAGAAAATATTAAGGGGCTGGAGGGTTACATCAATTTTTTTTTTGTTTTAGAAAAATCATAGTCTCCTTTCAAAATTATTTTAAGGGAAAAATCGTTAAAAAAGCCCCTAAAAATTTTAAAATTACAAATAAGGTATTTTGTCAAAAAAACGTGTTGTTGTTTGCAATTTAACTAGAAATTTCTCCCTCATGCGATGCATAGACTGGTATAGTTGATTAGAGTTGTAATTGGATAATACTGACATTTAACTCAATCTATTCAAATCCTAGTTAAGATATTATTCAATTTCAAAATTAATTGCTAATTTTTTATTTGAGCCTCCAATTGAAATCCCATTTAATTATAATACTCTTCATTTAATTCAAAATATTTAAATCTCAATCAAGATACTTTTCAAATATCATTAATTCTGGTCAAAAAAAATATCATTAATTGAATATATTTAAATTGCACATTGTTATACTTGACTCATTTTTTAAACGAATCAGATATTACTAGATTTCTAGCTAATTAATAGTTAGCTGATTGATATTGATTAATTAATTTAAATTTCAATGAAGATATTATTCAAATCTTGTTAATTGAATATATTCAAATTGCATACTATTCTAACTTATCCATTTTTAAACAAATTGGGTATTACAAGATTTTAAAAATATACCTGACGGTAATGATTGATAGAAGTTGATGATTGGTTGGATGTTGTCAAAATTTATGAGATTGTTGCAATGGGTCCAACTTATGATTTTATAATTTCCGTGGTTTTTTTTCCTTTTGCAATTTTTCCTGTTTTACAAGATGCATCGCATTGACCAATCTGTTAATAAAGTTAAGTTATGATTACATAAAATAATTTAACCAAACTATTAAATTCTTATATATATTCATTATTGTAAAAACAATAACCATTAAATATATCCTTATCTATCGTTATGATAACATATATCCTCATCTATCAGAGCACAAAATTATCTTTAAAAAGTAAAATAAATTTAATTTATGATTTGTAGCATAAATAAATCAAATAAAACTAAAATTTAAAATTTTTTATAATTAATACGTGGGATGCACACGACAATAATAATTTAATCAAAATATTAAATTCTTATATACTCTATATTCTAAAAAGTACCATTGCTTGTAAAATCTTTTTAATTTATTTTTATTCTTAAAATATTGATTTCTATAATGTTTTCCTAATGTTATCATTATATTTTAAGAATCATTATCTATCATTTTATACGGCTATTAATTAATCCATATTTGGGGCCCACACGACGATGATTAGCTCGTTCAACTCCAATGCGCCTGATCCAAAAAGCCCCGCTCCTTCACCCCGCCTTTTCCGCGCAACACAAAACCTTTTGAAAACTTTATTTTCTGACCAAATTACCCTTTTCTTTTGTCAAAATACCCGTCATGATGACCCATCCGCTCACTCTCACGAAAGTTGAACTGTCGCTTTTTCCCTCACTGGCTTTACCACGTTGGCCTCCGACCCAGCAAGGGAGCGTTACGAGTTACGAATCTCTCGCTGTTCAAATTCTGTTTGAAATTTGAATTTTCTTGCTCAAACTGGATACCTCTCTTTAATGGTATGTCATTAACTCCTTGATATTGGTTTAATTTTTTCTGATTTCATATGAGCAACGGTAATTTTCTTCCCATTTGAGTTATGTTTTCTTGGGGGCTTGATTTTAGTTTTCTTGTGCTGTGCGTCTATATCTGTTCCATCGTCTTATGGTAGAAAGTAGTGGAATGGGTTGTTTTCTTTTCAGTATTTTCTGTTTGTTTACTGGGAAAGTGGAGTAAACATAGGCGGAGAAGTTTCCCTGTTCATTTTGAAGTTGAATTGATCAATGGAATTACACTGATTCCCGGTTTTCTTGCTTTGTTTTTCTGGAAAAACTTGAATTGTAAGTGATCTCGCTCTCTGGCTCGCTCCCTCTTTTTTCGCAGTGAACTTGCTTTGCCTTTTCCTTTACCATTCCTTGGCAGGTTCAGATAAAGGTATCAAAATCTCCCCAAAACTGTTCCGTTCTGTATATATTTGTATACCCTATGTTGTTTTCTGTATTTTATATCTTTCAAATAAAAAGTTGGTGGTTGATCTTAGTTTTTTTTCCTATCATGGTTTTCTCTGTTTTGCTGACTTATAGTTCAATTACATCAGATGAACATGGTCATCTATAAATATTGATTATTGACCTTTGCGTAGAGCTGTCAAAATCAGCTACCCCCTGAGTGGACCCATAAAATTGGCGGGTTGGGTTTAGATTTTACTTCTTGGTTTTAAAGTTTTTTTGTAACAACATGCATTCTCTACATAATAGCTTTGGATTTCTTCAAAACTAGGAAGCTATGAAGTACGTCTCAAATCTTGCAGATTCTTAGACATTGATTGAAAATGACATGCAACTCTATGTTAGTGTTAATTAAATTTATCATACAACATGATGCTCCTTGTGAAGTCTAGCAGACTAGAATAATGGACTGTTGTGCTAATTATTTGCAGAATTGTTGGGCTCATCTTTTGTACTTTCACCTATCAGCATGGATTACATTGAACCAATCCCTTTCTTTCAATAATTTTGTATTCTAGTTATCTAATCTACATCTACTATGTGCAGCAATGGTGATAGAAAATATTGTCAAAACATGAGCTCAACAGACAGTTCAACAATAAAAGCTGAACTTGTACTATAACCTAATTCAACTTAAACCAATGTAATTGTTTTCGCTTGGTGAGTTAAACCAGCCTATTGGCACCTCAGCCCATGATGTGTGGATTGGGATATACTTTTCGGATAGCTATAGGCTTATTATTAATATTATTTTTTGTGGCTGCCTTTTGTTTGGGCTAGTTATTTTCCTATTTAATTGTTTTCCTATTTAATTCAATTTTGTTAAATTATTTGTTATATGAGCATGCATTAGAGTTGGGGGTTTGAATCTCAACTCTTGTGTATAAGCAACCAAGTTGGGCTGGGTCTACCCTTTACCCTCAGTAAAAGAATATATCGGGCTTATTTTTCTTTAATTGTAAATTATAAATTATATTTTCTCCATGACGTCCTTTTTCTTCTTTCAGTTATGTTCTTCATCTAATTAAATAATTCTCCTTATTACTATTGTGTTTAAGCTATACATATATATTCTGCGCTGATATGGGCTTTTTGTGTTTTTCCTTTTATTTTTAGGTTCAGTGAGATCTGAGTTTTTGGCATGTTAGTTCCTTAGATCCCAGGAAAGCCGATCAAGTTCATGAGATTGTGTTGGAATTACAAAGGATCATTAACACATGAAGAAACTGTTCTTTTTTAAATCTTCTGCGTCTAGCAGTGGGAACAATAGTGCAGTTCCCCCAAGACCCACAAATAAGCAAATATGCTGGGAGAACTCGTCAGAAAGTGGATTATATGGTCAGGCTCTTGGCAGAGCCGAGGATAGCTTCCAGAGTCCAACGGGATTGTTCTCTAAATCCCATAAGCATGCAGATAGCCAGGGTTCAGGTAGTGGGCCAAGACTTAGAAGGAGCAGGTCTTTGTCAACAGCAGCCTACCAAGTGAAAGATCATAGTAGGTCTCCTAGTTTCATTTCAGGTGATCAATATCATCAGTGTGAGAATTCTTCTCAGTAAGTATTTATGTCACCTAATTTTGAAGTGCGCGCACACACGAATATCCTATAGAAGCTTATTCTAAATTGTTCGTATTTACTTTTTTTTTTGGCAGAGATTTCTTAGTTTCTTCCTGCTATCAGACTCTTACTCCTGAGAAGCAAAGGCAGTCACCTATCCACATTTCACATGGAACTGAGAGGCCTGGCTCAGCTTGCTCTTCAAGGTCTCATAATGATTCATCTGGGAACTCCTCCACTTCTTCTAGCAACATTTCAAGTAAGATTGTTGACCGTTATATTGATGGAGAGCAGCAGCCAGAAAAAAGCAGGTCAAGGAAAAATTTACAGAAAATTTATGGTGAAAATGGAAATCATGGTATGAAGCTCCCTCCAAAAATTCAGTACACAGCGCCTAATTCACCAACTGATGGTGGTGCTAGATATAAACCAAGAGCTCATTCATTTAGAGAAGCTAAAGGCGCTGATATTCACTTTTCATCCAAAGACTGGAAAGAAAATGGGTTTGGCCATGAATCTCCTCGGAGCCTCGCAAAAAATGTCATTGAGAGACTTTCTCAGTTTCATTCTTTCTCTAAAATCACTTCAAAAGAGGTTGGTCTTGATAATCCAATTACAGTTGAAGATGTATTTGCTAGATCTGTAAATGAAGGCTGTGAGTCAGATCCAGATGAGGCTCTTCCAAAAGGTTATTCTTTTGATAAACCTCACAGAATGGCAGGTGGTTATCATAGCATTGACGATCAAAGATTCCAGAAACATGATGTCTCTGCAGCAGCCAACTGTGACGGCTTAAGCTATGTTGTCCTTGAAGAGGATGTTGATGCAGAGCTACAAAGACGATTAAAGGAAGTCAAAGAGAGAGTTACTCTTTTTTCGAAGGAATTTGAAAGAGAATGCTTTCTTCTTGACAGTGGTTTTGATGTGTCTGTGTTGGTTCAGACAATCAGAAACCTAGAAGAGGAGAGGTTAAGTTTGGCAATGGAAGTTTCAGGCCTTCTTCAGTCTCGCATTGCTGAAAGGACATCTGCTAAGGAAGAACTTAGATCCTTAAAGGAAGAATCGGGGTTACAGGCTCGACGGCTAGAAAAGGAAAAGAATGAGATACAGTCAGGATTGGAGAAGGAATTGGACAGAAGGTCAAGCGACTGGTCACTTAAGCTCGAGAAGTGTCAGCTGGAAGAGCAAAGGCTTCGTGAACGTGTTAGAGAGCTTGCTGAGCATAATGTATCGCTACAAAGGGAAGTCTCATCCTTTAGTGACAGGGAAACAGAAACCAAAAAACTAATAATTTGTTCTGACCATCAACTCAAGGAAATGACTGAAAAGATGGAAGAAATGAAAGAGCAAAATTTGTATTTTCAACAAAATGTCTTAGAATTACAACAGAAGTGTAAGATAGTAGAAGAGAAAAGGGACATTTACCGAAGAAATTATGAAGAGAAGGAGAAGGAATGTAAAGAGTTACACAAATCCATCACAAGATTACTAAGAATATGCAGTGACCAAGAGAAGACAATCACGGGGTTGCGAGATGCATTTAGTGAGGACTTGAAGAATCCTTCTATGGAGAGGGTGGAGAAGCATGTTGCAAGAATGCAAATGGAGCAAATGAGGTTATCGGGTGTAGAAATGGCCTTGAGAAGGGAGTCAGAGTCTTATAGGATTGAAGCAGATTCTCTTCGCCAAGAAAATATAACTCTACTAAACCGCTTAAAAGGGGATGGGAAAGGAATTGTTGCTGCTACTTATAAGCTAGATAAAGAGCTGTTGGCCCGTATTTATTGTCTGCAAAATCAAGGCCTGACAATGCTAAATGAAAGCTCCGACCTATGCTCAAAGTTGTTTGAATTTATCAAAGGGACGGGAGGTCAGCTTCTTCAAGATTCACGGCAGGAAATGGAAGTGAAAAGAAATGGTCTAGATGGGCAATTTATTGTTGAATCTGAAAGTAGAATTCAGAGTCTTAAAAGTGGAATTGAAAGCTTAACTAGGAGTTTGCAGATGATGTCGGGTTTGGTTGCTGAAAAGTCAAGTTCATTGACAACTAAATTTCAGTCACAGTTTATTGATCCTGATAAACTAGCTAAATTGAATGATCAATCATCTGAGGTAAGTCACTGCTAGACCTTTATAATATATTATCTTAAGCAAAATGCGGATTGTAACTTGTCTATTTCTTATATTTAACCTTTAAATATAAGCTTTTTTTTTTTCCTTCTTTTTTTTTTTAGCACGTTCTTTTTATTAAAGACATATAACTAACCTTTTAAAAATCTTTTGTAGGATATGATAAAAACTGAACTTAAAGCAGAATGCTTGCTTACAAGTCTGTTAAGAGAGAAGCTATACTCGAAAGAGCTCCAAGTTGAGCAGCTGCAAGCTGAACTTGCTACAGCAGTAAGAGGAAATGACATACTTAAATCTGAGGTACAAAATGCACTAGCCAACCATTCATGTGTCAACCATAAGTTGAAGGACCTTGAACTTCAGGTCAGTCCCCACTATCAATTTTCGTAAATTATATAGGTAAGCAGGCCATTTTCTGTGGAAAATGTCTAATAAAATGTGCTACCTCTAATTCTAAATATAAGAACTAATTAAGAGATTTGTTTTGGTTCTAAATATAAGGCCTCAATTTACTTTACCTTCTAATTTTATAACCTCAAAGTACCTCTGTTGATTGCACATAATAAGAGGGTTTTCATTGAGAAGTGGTTACAATGCACATGATAAGAAAGGATACTTTAGAAAAACCAATATATTTGTTATAAATAACTAACTTAACTAATTTTTTTAATATTTATAAATTAATTATCTAGCTCTTATATTAAAGATTAGAGAAAGTAATAAAGTTTTCCGTAAGTTTATTTTATTTAAGAATTATCTTCCAACAAATGGAGTGTAGAGTTGGAGGGTTCCTGGCAGTACTTTCGGAAGTTGCTGTTGCTTGGACCTGGTCCTACTCGGCTAGGAGAAGTATGGAAATTAATTTATCATGTTCTGGGTAACAGATGTTGAAGAAAGATGAGAACATAAGCCACCTCCACAGTGATCTGAAGGAATCTATGAAAGAATTAGCAATCGTTAAGGGAATATTGCCCCAAGTAAGCGAGGAGAGAGATCGCATGTGGGAACAAGTGAAGCAATATGCCGAGCAGAATATGCTATTGGACAAAGAGATCAATGGCTTGAGGAAGAAGATAGAGGTCCTTGATGAAGATATACTTGTAAAGGAAGGTCAAATAACAATATTAAAAGACTCCCTTGGTAAAAAGCCCTTTGACCTCCTTGGGAGTCCTGATTCTATGCATGAATTTTTGCTTAACTGATTGCTATAAGCGCATATTTCTTTTTCATAGGCCAACTCATTATACGTTGTTCATAGTTCTATACATCAATGAGGTTTTGAAGGTTCTTTTCTTGAGTTTATAGATGAATTTGTGCTTGCATTATTTTGTACAAGCTTTGTTCTTTTTTTAAGGTCATGTTATAATATCTACTTTTTCCTATTTGATTGACTCTTGTTATCATCAGTCAGTGTATCATAATATGATATAAACTTCGATTTATTTAAAACTTATAAATAGTGTGGCATTGGGGCTCATTTTAATACCCATGCAAAGTATGAGACATCTAATTATTTTTTCCCCTTTAATATTTTAATTATGCATGATCGATCAACTTCAAACCTAAGGGGTCTATCTTCTTGGGAAATAGAATCTTTTCTTTTAACCCTCTACTTTGAGCAAGCTTTTTTTAATGAAAAAAATTACTCATAGTTATCAATTAAAAAAAATAAATACAAATAGATTTTTTGAACTTTAATTATTACTTATAGGTCCAAGGGGACTTGGAGTAATTTGAAGGAGAAATTCTTGTGCGCTCCAGGAGCACCACGTCATTTATGGTCTGACAAATAAAAACCTGCCATCTCATTAAACTTAATCTTAGCTGTAAACTTAGCTGTCAGCTTTTAATTTGTATTTACTTAAGTAATTTAATTTAACAATTTCTTTTAGAAAGTCGTTCTCATCTTTTGTTCCTGACTTTTTCTGCCCTCGTCGCTAGTTCGTCGTCTTCTCCATTTGTTTTTCCAAAACTCCCTTCCACATAATTTTTCTTCTTTGTTGTGTGTTTCTGCGTCAGGAGCCACCATGTTTCTCCCCTCCTCTTCCCTCATCACCCTTACCTTCTCTATATTTATCCTCTCCCATCTACCTCACCTTCACCCTCCAACTCCTCCCGCCGTCACTTCCGCCCGCCTTATCTCACTCCTGCCGTCAGTGATTCCGTCTAGTTCGCGTCTCTCCATTTGGAAGATTGTACATCATTGTCTATCTCCTTTTTCAACTCATACCCATCTTTTTTCCTCTTTCAAGTTCTTGAATCTGGTTGCTTACTTCTCTAGATCCAAAGCATGAGGGGAAAATTGATGTTCTTGAACCTGAGTCCACGATTTGAAATTTATGTTTGATTTGCTGCTCTTGTTTTGTGTTAAGCGAAGGAAGGAGGGTGCTGGACAGAGAAAAGAAACACTACTCTTCATCTCGTGGGTCCATGGAGTACATGGAGGAAAGAGAGGGTTTGTTGGTGGGGAGGAGCGAAGATGATGGAGGAGGGCAGAGAAGTCAGGAAAAAGGATGGGTACGAGTTTCTAAAAGTAATTGTTGAATTAAATTACAAAAAAAAATATAAATAAAAAAACTAACAGCTAAGCTCACAGATCAGATTAAATTTAATGAGATGGCAAGTTTTTATTTGTCAGACCATAAATGACGTGGTGCTCCTGGAGCACAGAAGAATTCCTCAATTTGAAGTTGGCGTGAATTGTGATATAATTTGTAGTAGGTATGAAATGACATCAATGTCTGTGTTAACCAAACTTGGATGATTGTTGACTGATTGCACAGACAGGCATTGATCAATCGACAATTGAACAAATTTATTTTATTTTCATAGTTTGAAAATTGGGTTAAAGGTAGTTTGTGCCCTGGAAGTTTTTGCGAATGAGTAGCGGGCATCAGAAAATTTTTTTTGGAGCAATATTGCCTCAAAAATTATAAAATTATAGTAATGTTACCTCTTTTTAATAGCACCAAACGGTCAACTGTCATTTGACCAATTTTGCTGAGTTGGCTCTACCATATAAGATATTATGCCATATAATATACCACATCAGATTATAACAAAAATGGGTGGGGGTGGGGGTGGGGGGAGGGACGTGACTGGCTTCTTTCTTGGCTTCGCATATGCTCTCTTCCGATTCATTCTTGCCACTGCAAGTAAATCACCTTTTTACTATGTCAGGCAAAAAAAAGTTCACCTTTTCACCATGATTTCAGCTCGCTAAGATCAGATAGCAAATTTTCACAGGGAAGCAATTGATTAATCGAAACCAATCATTATGCAGATCAATGAAACTCAAAGAATAGAGGGTAGATTAGCAAACAAAAAAAAAACCCTTCTATTATCATTAGCATCTATGAACTAGCGGGTTGAGGTATAAATTTACTCTGAAAGTTTTTACTCAAAAATATTGGTATCTAAAAGTTTTTTTGGGAACAAATTTTTTCCGTAAATTTAAAATTGTGACAATATTGCTCTTCACGGTTAAAAAACTTACGTCCGCTAAAATAGTTATGTTGATCATTAATATTGTTAACAGTAGGGGATAATATTGCCACAATTTTAAAGTTTCAGGGCAAATTGACTTCCAGAAAAACTTTTGGATACCTAATGCTCTTGAGTGAAAACTTTTGGGACAAATTTATACCTTAATTCATAAAAATTGATATTTATAAGTCATATTTTCATATTTATATGTGAAGTTGTGTCATTTATAAGTCAAATTTTTATATTTACAAAAATAATTGCATCATTTAAAAGTCAAATTTAACAATTTCATATCTATGAGTTGGGTTGTGTCATTTAGAATTGATTATAACTTTTCTCCCAAAAATTGTACAGGTCAACAAAACTGGTAAAAAAGGCACACACATTTTTTTGTTGTAAATGACAAAAATTTTACTTGTATTTATAAAAAATTGATTTGTAAACGTTAAATTAAATTGAATTGCAAATATGAAAGTTTGACGTGTAAACATCAAACTATTAATATTTGAGTTGAAGAACATTAAAAGAAGGGAGCATTACAATCAAGTCCCATAGAAAAGAAATAATTACTAAAAAAGGCCTAATAACAACCTGAGCAGCCTGTAGGACTTATCATTATAGTGGAGAATAACAACCTTTAAGACTTGTTTTGTTATTTTTCTTTTTATGGGACTAGATTGTAATTCTCCCATTAAAACAAAATATATTGTCTGTCTTACTGCTTAACAATTGTTCATTGGTGGCAGGCAATCAGTCAACTACAACTACAGACAACCATTGTTCAACACTAGGTGGGTGATTGCTTTTTTTTTTGGGAGAAAAAGACAAAATGATACTCCTCTGATCTTTAATATAAGACCTGTTTAACTAATTTGATTAGATTAACAAAGTTAGGTACGTTAGTTAATTATAAAAAATATGATATATTTTTCCTAAAACACCATAATCATCTTTCTTATTATCCTCCCTTCCTCTTTTACTTGCTTATGGTTGAGGGAGTATCTATAAGAGTAATTTAGGAAAAATTGATCAATATGAGAAATATGTTTTATGTTTAGAACTAAAATCAACTAAACAATTAGGTTCTATATTAATGACTGGAGGAGTATTAAATAATATAAGTTTACAAATTACAAATACTCAGAAGTAAAATGAGTTCCTAAGAAATTGTAAAATGTTGATATTGGAATGACCCCTAAAGTTAACAATAGAAAAATCAAGAAGCAATGCTAAATCTCCTACCCGACATTGAGAGTTGAAGAAACTTGTGGAGAAGTCTGAAGAAAAGATGTCCTAACACAATAAGTTGTTAATAGTGCCTTAACATCTACTTTTCTGGTTCTTAATATAAGACCCATTTAACTAATTTGATTAGATTAAGAAAGTTAGGTAAGTTAGTTAATTATAAGAAATGTGACACGTTTTTCCTAAAATACCATAATCATCTTTTACCCTCTCTTCCTCTTATACTTGATTATGGTTGAAGGAGTATCTATAAGGTAATTTAGAGAAAACTGATAAATATAAGAAATGGGTCTTATATTTAGGACCAAAACTAATTCAACAATTAGGTCTTATATTAAAGACCGGAGGAGTATTTGCAAGATCACTGTGACCTGAATCCAGAAAAGAGCAGCATGGTAGCATTTGAAAAGTAAAGTTGTCCTTGGGGTTGTTTTATTTTCCCACAAGAATTCCTTCATGGGATCCATTATGACAAATAATTCCATGGCAAAAGTGTTTCCCTGACCTCTTATACTTGTGAAAGAGAACATTCCATCGATCGTCATGCAAAGGTAGACTGGAATCAATAATGGATTTTAGTTTACCCAACTTTGCCATGGAAGAAGAAGTCGAGAATGCAAGATCCTGGTAGTTGACAATTTATTTTACTTCCCTAATTATTGTCAAATGGCTATCTCTTTTTCCATGATGTAAAGTTTAATTCTTTTTCCTCCGAAGAGTGTGCAAAAGACATTATTTGAGAGATTAAATTAAAAAAAAAATTATCTCTTTGGAGATTGAAAAGAGTGCCCTTAAGCCATTCCTTGAAACCAGTGAAAGTTAAAGAAGGAATTCTAATATTAACACATCCACACCATATACTTCTTGTTAAAGGACAATTGACAAAGAGATGATCCAATGTCTTTGCCGCATCACAACCAAAGACATATAAAGTAGATAAAGGGAAGTGATGCCTGGTGAATATGCCACTTGATGGGAAGACATTATGAAACAGCTTCGAAATGAAAAGAAGTTGCTTGTAAGGCAAATGTAACTTTCACAGAAATCTCCAGAAATGATCATCAGCAGTACCATCAGGCCTGGGATCTTGTAACAGTAGTTTAACACCATCCTTCATTGTATAATGTCTTGAGGGGTTGCTAGTCCACATCAAAGTATTTGGAGAGTTTAAAATGGAAATAGGGATACTGAGAATTTCCTAGGCAACATTGGCCGAATATAGAGAGCAAACTAGCTGTGAATTCCAGATAATAAGATTCCAAGATAATGAAACATGCAATAATAGATCAACTACTTGTTGAATGTTCAACGAAGAAGCTCGACCCTGCTGCATGGGCCACCAAAGGTCGTGATTAATCAGAACCATGGTACCATTCCCAACATGCTATTTTAATCTCCTGACAATGATTCCTGCATTTTTAGAAAGCTCCTTCCATATCCAAGAAGAATTGTAAGGATTCTTGACAATTGTTTCACTAGAAAGATCAATATACTTGATCTTCAATGTGGAAGCCAAATTGACTATTCAATGACTTGTCAAATTGTCAAATATCAAAGGTGTTATGAAGCCC